GCCGCACTTTCCTTAACCATAAGAAAGCTCACTGGCCAGAGTTCAGAGAATTCACCAACCGCCGCTTCAGAGAACTGCCCAACCCTTCTGATGTTCGGGTAGCAGAAAGGATTTTCCGAAACATCATCAAAGCTGCAACCGCTCGCTATATACCTGCTGGTCGAATACCCGAGATAAGACCAAACTTCCCAGCAGAGGCAGCGGGATTAGCAAACGAGCGTGATGATCTCCGTCGTACCAACCCTACTGATCCTAGAAACAGGATTTGACAGTGGAAGTCAACCGGTTGGTACAGGAGCATAAGAGGAAAAAGTGGCTAGACCATCTGAAGTGCTGCAACATTGGAACCGATATGAGTAAGCTGTGGGTAACGGTTAAGTCGCTCTCGAACCCTGGAAAAAAGGATGATAGGACCTCAGTCACTTTTAACGACGTAACGATGACTGATCCGAAGAGGTGCGCGGAATATTTTAATCGACAATTTGTCGAGCACCCCGAGAGCGATAGGGCGAAGCGAAGAGTACTACGTCGTATCAGATCTCTTCCCGCCGAGGAGGAACCACCACAGTTTACGATGGGTGATGTTGCAAATGTCATCCGTAACGCTAAGTCATCCAAAGCGTTGGGCCCAGACGGAATCTCAATGGTAATGTTGAAGCAGCTGGATACGCTGGGAGTCGAGTACTTAACGAAAGTTCTCAATTTGTCGCTATTGTTGCTAACCACCAGCACGGATTCTGTCCACAACATAGTACCACAACAGCATTACACGCCATTTCCACACATATTAGTAGACGACTGAACCAGAACAGGCCGTGTGACAGAACAGTGTTGGTAGCCCTTGACCTATCAAAGGCATTTGATACGGTCAATCATGCCACACTGTTCGAGGACGTGCAGAGAACTACCCTCCGGCCAAGTTTGAAACGTTGGATAATCAACTATATGTGTGGACGCCAGTCGTACGTGGAATTCCGGAACAAGAAGTCCAAAGCCCGTAGAGTGAAACAGGGAGTTCCCCAAGGTGGGGTGATATCTCCGGAACTGTTTAACCTCTACCTTTCCGGAATTCCTCGCCCTCCAGACGGCATTGAGATCGTAACGTATGCGGATGATTGTACGATCATGGCGTCGGGTCCAGTGGTCGATGACATATGCGAAAGGTTGAACCCCTATCTCACGGAGCTTGCGGCATACTTCCACGCGAGGAATATAAAAATATCCGCCACGAAATCAACGGCACACTCTTTTCCACATGGTCTGCGGAGATGAAAACACAGCTGAATGTGCAGGTCTAGGGGAATTTAATACCGACCACGAACTACTCCAAGATTCTAGGGGTCACATTCCACAGCATGTTCAAGTAGTCCGCGCAAGCCACAGCTATCTGCGACCAGATGAAAAGTGGGAACAAGGTCCTCAAGGCGCTAGCCGGCAGCACTTGTGGTGCGGACAAAGAAACCTTGTTGACCTCTTATAATGCGATAGGTCGGTCTGTGGTCAGCTATGCGGCTCCAGTGTGATCTGCGAATACTAGTGCCACGCAGTGGAAGCATATCCAGACCTGCCAGAACGCTGACTTAGAACTGCGACAGGGTGCCTCCTCATGACACCAGTGGACCATCTACATGAGGAGGCGAAAGTACTTCCCTTACGTCAGCATAATCATATGCTTTCGTTGCAGTACCTGCTTGGGTGTTACCGTGATAGTCATCCCAACCATCATATGGTGGATAAATCTCCCCCACCCAGGCGTGTCAGGAAGGACATACATGATCTAGAGAGGGAGGTCCAGCGCTACAAGAGAGAACCTCTAGATCAAGAAGCCTATCAGGCAGAGAGGGAGGTCCAGCGCTACAAGAGAGGATGGTGTAGTCGTCTCAATTCGTATTGGGCACGAATTGATGAAGATGTGCGTGACGCCTGCCCGGCATGCGATACAGGCCCGCACAATACGCTACACCTCTTTAATTGCACAGCCAAACCTACCCAACTCACTCCAGAAGATCTCTGGCTACAGCCCGTTAAAGTAGCCGAATTTCTAAACCTGGAGCTGGAACCAGATTAGCAGAACGCAAACACATACATGTACTACTGCTACAACAACAACAACCCGAACATGTAGGATATACAGTAATAACGTATTCTCGCAGTAAAATCGGATTGTGGTAAATAATCAGATATCATGTGCAAAGGTTTGTACTATTCCGACAATGGAGAGGTTTTGCTTAGATGTCATCATTATTTTTTGAACGTTCCCACGCCTCACACTCCCACCCTTGCCGACCGAGGGGACGAAATCCCTTTACGTAGAGATCGCGTACACATCATGATTCGCATCATAATGGGAATTTAGTAGGGAATTGAAAACTAGCTACAGAATCTAATTCATCAACTACTTTGTAAAATAATAAAACATGTTTGTAAAAAATAACTCATACCAAAATCTAAATTACAGTACACAGAATTAAAGTCAACACACATTTTACTAAGAGGTTTGCCCATTGAATAATTCGTGCGGTGAAAATCGGTATATAAAAATTGGTAGTAACTACTAGATCTAAACGAATGATGATGAGGTATATTACCATTTAATATTTTTAGTACAAACATGGAGTTCAACATAATACGTCTGCTTGTAAGTGCAGGCAATCTAATTAATTTTAGCCTGCTAGCATAAGAAGGCAAAACAAAATCACTATTCCAATGTAAATCTCGTAAGGCAAATAGCAGAAATTGTTTTTGCATGGATTCTATTTTATCTGTGTATATTGCATATTGGACTAACAAGAGACGTAAATAACTGTTTTGTTATACATGGATCAGAAAATTCTTTGGCCCACCGTTTAATAAAACCTAAAACACTATTTGCTTTATTTACCATTGTTATTACATGATTATTAAAATTTAATTTGGATAGATACCCTTCAAACAAAATTAGTTGTGATCTATCTTGTAAGTAAGGTGATATCCATTTGACTAAGTTCGTGTTGAAATCCATATAATTTAATTTATATATTAGGAGTTCTTGGCTTCACTAAAATCAGTATAAATTGTGTCAGTTTGTTTATGCTGAACAAATCCTTTTATTACTGTTGACGTAAATTATATAAGATTTGTTGTAGTTGAAAGACCACTACGAAAACCATGCTGATATGAACTCAATATAGATTGAATTTTCAGTTAAATTACTGCAATAATTTTTCGAACAATTTTGGAATGTAATTTTGTAATACCTCTATAACTTGACACATTAGTAAGACTACCAGACTTTTGTAAAGGTATAATATAAGATTTTTTTCCAGAAAGTAAGAAAGTTACCAAATTGAAGTGAACAATTAAACAATATAGTTAAAGGAAGTGCTAATGTTTCTGAACAATAATAAAGAATTATATTAGGTATGCCATCCGAGCCTGGACATATAATCGATTTTAAATTACGCAGACTATTGGACACCTCTTGACGTTGTAGAAAAAGCATACAAATTTGATCAGCCTGTGACAAATTCTTTATTGTTATATTTCAATACTGAAGGCTCTGAGGAAACCTTTCGTTTTAGGTTAACGAAATCATAAAAAGATTTGGGATAGGATTTTACATTAGTTTTAATCTTGTCGAGGTAAAGATTATACAATCTATGAGACTCTAAAGTATATTTAGATCTAGCAACAGAGTAATTTGTATAGTCTATTATTAAGCCTGATTTTTTATATTTACGAAAAAGCTTATTTTTAGAATTTTTAAAACTTGCTAACTCAGGGGTTATCCATGGATATTTATTAGAATTTTCAACTCTAGTAGTTGGAACACATTCCAATTTAAATTTATCAAATATATATTCCAGATATTTATGGCTGTTGCACAGGCACACAGAGGCCCAATTTACGGACGACATGAGCACATTAAGTTTTGCGAAAATTAGTCTTTTTGTAACTAAAGACAGTTTTAAAGGAATCGGACTGACTTTCTTCAATATAGGTCATACTTGCATTTTGGAACAATGCAATGTAACAAAACAATTACGTTTGAAATGTGTCTAAAATCATAATAATAGTAATAATAATATAACAAATAAAATGCCAACACTGCTATAGGATATTGTTATTCTTATGTTCTTTTCTTTTATGTTCTTTGCAAACAAAACTAATATATAGTCTGCCTCGTAGAACCTACACGTCCATAATTTTGTTTTTATAGATTAGAAAATCAAGTGTATTTACTACGAAATCACCCTCACGCGACGGTCTGGATGTTTCTTAATTTACAGAACTCGGTGAGTTCATAGTTGAAAATGTTCTGGTAGTCATTGCAATTCTCTCTTATGATGATTTTTGGGAAAGGTGAGTGTGATTCTCATTTACTATGTTTATCAAAGTAAAATAAAATAATGAAACCTTCAAAATATCATTATTTAGTTTTTTGAAGCAGGAACTGATAAGTGAGTTACACGAGTTAAATTTTCTGAATGATACTTTCTTTCAAATGATACTCATATTGTTTAAATCGGAATGAAATCGGTAGAATAGAATGAAAACGGATTTTGTTTCCGAACTTTCTGGTCGAATAACCGGGAATATTCCCCACGAATACATTGCCCTAATCAGTGTAAATATATAATAAAAAAATCAAAATGATCCGCACATAAACTCCAATACAACTTCCTCCCAAACATTAAAAAATTTTAAGTTGCCTTGCAAATTTTATTTCTGCCTCCAAATTGCGATAAAAATAGCTGAGGTCTTATTTGTTTCCATTTTATATTCAGCAGGCAATACCCTGATTAGCAGCTGTTTATTATCTTTGACCTGAAAGACCAAGAATCAGAACGAATATATATAACATCTTATTTTCAGTTCACGATGAATTGATATTTAGAATAGGGCCGTGTATCTTGTTTTCACAATAACACTTTTGGTAAATGTTCAATTTCTGGAACTATATATTTTCATCAAAATTGGCTGAATACTAGTAACTGACAGGGAAAATAAATTAAAATTGATTTATATGTTTTTTTTTTGTTTTATTTGTGTTTTTGAAAAATATACGTAAGTCGTCTTATAAAATTGTAGTGCGATTTACATTTAACGGATTACATTTATGGAAATATATCTAGCATTACAATCGTGATATACATGAATTAAAGCCATTTAACATTTTCTTACATGTACGTCGGGCATATAAAAGGTGGAATTTTTATACATTTTGCAAATGTAACGTAAAGAGCAATCGGCTTTACGCGCATTCGAAAATTTAGCAACAATGTTCACGATGGTTCTACTTTTGAATCAGAAATGTTGTGTTCATTGACTATTTAAGCGGGCAACTGCAACTTTTTGCCTTTTAGAACTTTGGTAATGTACAAATAAAAGAAATCGCAGTACAAAATAGTTTGGACAATTCCAGCAAATATTGCAATAAGATCGTAGTGCGATTCTACTATGTAACGGTACACCCAATTTAATAAATACAGAGCACGGTATGAGCCCAAAGCAAATAGATAATGACTTGTAATAGACTCTGCTTCTCCGGTTTTGCTAACCATGAAGAGTTGCGGTAATATGGCAACAGATTCTAAGTAAATTGAAAATGTCCACAAAACCTCCATTACCGTAAATTCATGGTTAATTAATAAAGACAACAGAAGACACGGCACCAATAAGAATTCAATACGGAACGAATCGTGATTACGATCATAGGTGGCTCTGAATTTTACATACATTAGATACACGGTCGCTCCAGATGACGCTAGAAAAAGTACTTTCATTACTGAGTTGTATAGGCTGACATAGGTTGTAAACAAATCTAAGTATCGAGTCAAATATACAAGAGCAAATAATATTTGTGATTTTCCGGAAATGCCAGCACAGGACCTAGTTTTCCATATTTTTAAAAGTAGAATTATAATAGCGAAGACGTGCGCCAAATCACCAGCCAATCGAAAGATATTCATTTTATTAGGTCAGATAAATGTATGTATACTTATTATCACGATTTATTGAGTTTTATCCAAGAAATTGAGCACGTATGACGCTGTAGCCGCTAATCAGTTTCTGCAAATAAATTTTATATTAATTCGTATTTATTATATACTTTAATTATTATATACATTAATTAATGCAGATATATTACACAAATGTCAGCACAAAACGCACAACAAAAACTTGGCGAAAGGGAAATGTTAGGAAGGCAAAGAAAGTGACGTGGCCGCCATTGTAGATAAAGCAGTATTACAATTCAACTGACGATTAAAATAAACACGTTCCATAGAACAAATAAAATTTGACACATCTGTGTTGCACATAAGGCATCGTTTACATTGAAAAATGCTATCATGTACGAAGTGACATTTTGTAAATGCTAACACGAGACCATGGTAGAAAAATACACGTAGACGTCACGTCATTCGGAGGTTATTATAATTCGCGTTTTTAAACATTTTTTAAAAATTTAAATAATTTTTCATTCAACATTTTCAATTCCAAAATTGCTTTGACAGCTCATTGGTCGAGCAGCTGTGTCGATGCGTCTATCTATATATTTTTTTTTTTCGAACGTTCCCACGCCCCACGAGGGGGCGACCACCCTTTACGGAGGGATCGCGTACATATCATGATCCGCATCATAATGGGAATTCAGTAGGAAATTGAAAACCAGCTACAGAATCTAATTCATCAGCTAGTTTGTCAAATAATAAAACATGTATGTTAATTGTTTAAAAATAAAATTATTCTAGATTTAATAACTTCTAAACTCATACAAAAATCTACATTACAAGACACAGAATTAAAGTCAACACACATTTTACTAAGAGGTTCGCCCATTGAATAATTCGTGCGGTGAAAATCAGTATATAATAATTGGTAGCATCTACTAGATCTAAACATAACATTAATTCTAATAGATGAGATTAGGAAATCTGAAGGTATATTACCATTTAATATTTTTAATACAAACATGGAGTTCAACATAATATGTCTGCTTTTAAGTGTAGGCAATCTAATTAATTTTAGCCTGCTAGCATAAGAAGACAAAACAAAATCACTATTCCAATGTAAATCTCGTAAGGCAAATAGCAGAAATTGTTTTTGCACGGATTCTATTTTATCTGAGTATATTGCATATTGAGGATCCCATACAACAGAACCATATTCCAATATAGGTCTAACAAGAGACGTAAATAACTGTTTTGTTATATATGGATCAGAAAATTCTTTGGCCCACCGTCTAACAAAACCTAAAACACCAGTTGCTTTATTTACCATTGTTATTGCATGGCTATTAAAATTTAATTTTGGATCCATCAGAGGCCTAGATCGACAAATGAATCTACAGTTGATAATGAATGACCATCAATATTATATTGCAATATCAGAGAAGAAGATCTGGAGAAGCACATATGCTTAAATTTAACTCCATACAATTCTTCTACCATTCTCGTGACTAACTAAAACGAGAACAAGAATATTACAGTGTTGGCCTGTTTGTTTGGGATTCCATAGTATTTTGTTGATGCAAAATAGTCAGTTTAGTTTTTATAAAAACATGGGATTAAGCCTGACTATTTTGCAACAACAAAATATTACGGAATCCCGAACAAACATGCCAACACTGTTCTATTAATATACAAGACAGGTAAACGAAAGCATAACATGTGGAGAGCGATGAAAATGTTTTTTTAAGTGCGGTTGTAAGATTTAGAAGATTCTCCTAAAGAATTTTAGTTTATTTTAATTCTTTGGTTCCTCTTCTATTGAGCTTACGATCTCGTCACTTGGGTAAATTTTTTTTTGTCATATTGCAACAAGATTATTTCAAATTTGAAGAAATTAAACAATATTGTCCTATTTAATGTTTTGTGGGTTTCCTCCAAATGTAAGAATTGTACATAAAAAATAATAATGAAACAAAACGACTTGTTGAATGAATAAATGTATATTTGACACAATAATACTCCAAGATTGAACTTAAGCAGTTCGGCTTGCGTTTTCACTTTCCGTACGATAATAATATTCCAAAAAAATATATAAATAAATAATAATAAGAATAAAAAGGTCTACAATACAAAACTAACATAAAAAATGAAACACCAACTGAAAACAAAATACCAAATTTATACAAAAAAATAAACAAAAAACTTAAAAATAACGCAAGAGTAACAGTGTAAAAAGGCCTACAGGTGTAAGTACATAAGAAGCTTAGAGTCGTGGCTAGATATATTTTGTGACATTTCTTAAAGGGATTACAGAGCCGCACTAAAATCCTGTCGTCTTTTCGATTATATCTGACTTTTTATGTACTTGCACCTTACCTTGTTTTAATATTAGGATTACTATCGACACAAATTTAATAAGTTGTTTATTATCAAAAAAAAAAAAAAACAAATCAACTTGTTCCATTGATTTTGATTAACCGCAAAAATTGAATGAAGTTAAAATTTACTTTCAAAATCATGTTCTATATTTCTCAAACTATTTATTTCGCTACAAAAAGTTTAAATCACACTGTTTTATTACAATTAAATTATAAACCCAAAATGCAACTCGTCATTATTTCTAATTATTTGCCATCATACCATTTTATTCCACTTTGAACTTTCGTTGGCAAGCGATGGAAAATTCTAACGAGTATTATCTGTCAATTTGCGCGGCTCTTGAAACGTCTTGGCTTTCTCGTTTCTGTTACTTCACTTGTTTTACAGATTATAGTCCTAACAACATCGCAGCAACACCAATTATACAACAAAGGTAAACATATATTAGTTATTCGACTAATATAATAACATAATAAAACTGCCAATTTTTTATTTTAAAAATACTAAATTTCTTGTGTTTTATATCTTCCCTTTTTTATTTTCTTTACACTGCTCCGCAATATTTTGGTCTCTTCGAACCGAGATTCGGGCTTTCCAGCAACAACAACTAACTTGGTTCATTTTATTTTATTCAAGGGTTTGACATCGTCAGCAACCACCACCAAAGATCATCAACTCTCGCCAATCATCTCAACACTCATCATCCATTATTTTCATTAAATACATTTAGTAATCACTAAAAGGTATGTATTTTTAGTGAGCACAAACGCGAGTGTTTGAATAAAAACATTTGGTTTAACTCTGGTTTAGTAAAAACTCTTCAATTCTTTTTCGAATTTTTTTCCTGTGGTAGGTATTTTTACCCTGATCCCTGGACGCCAATTTTTTCTTTGGGGACGTACCCGGGACCCCAGATTTTTGACCCCAAAGTCCGGGTTCAAAACCCCAACTAGACTTGGATCTAATAAAGACAATATAGGTATCGTTGCTTATGAAAATTCCTATCCAACAAGTGGTCACATGACTGGGTAAGTTGTTTGGTTGGAAGTTACAGTCAAATTATCGATTATTTGGACCCGGTCACATGACTGGGTAAGTTGTTTGGTTGGAAGTTACAGTCAAATTATCGATTATTTGGACCCGGAATTTTTATAAAACCCCCAAAAATTCAAAAACGAGCCGATTATGAGGGTCTACAAAATTGATGCCAAATTATAGCTCACACTCTTACATTTCCAAAATGCTACAATTTGTGCTAATGCTTTTACTGAGTCCAGAGATATGGGTCTTTCCATCCGAATAGCCCGATTCTAACCAGTTCATTAAAATTATATTTTCAATAAAAAAATGTGGTCGTTGGATTACAAATAAAACCCCCAAAAAGTAAAAAATAGCGTATTATTGGGGTCAACAAAATTGATGCCAACTTATAGCTGACACTCTTTCCAAAATGCTACAATTTGTGCTAATGCCTTTACTGAGTCCAGAGATATGGGTCTTTCCATCCGCATAGCCCGATTCTAACCAGTTCATTAAAATCATGTTTTCAATAAAAAAAAATTGCCGTCGTTGGATTACAAAAGCACCAAAATTAGAAAACTTTGATTCGCGTTAACCGGTGTTGGACATACATAGAGGAGAAAATTTCAAGCCCGGCCGAAGGCCCGCTATTTACAAAAAAGTGTCTAATTTAGAAAACTTTGGTTCGCGTTAACCGATGTAGGATATACTCAGAGGAGAAAATCTAAAGGCAGGCTATTTACAAAAAGAGTCAAATTTAGAACTCTTTGGTTCGCGTTAGCCGGTGTAGGATATACTCAGAGGAGAAAATCAAAAGCACCGCCAAAGGCTTGCTATTTACACAAAAAGTGTCAAATTTAGAAAATTTCAAGCCCCGGCCGAAGGCCCGCTATATACAAAAAGTGTCAAATTTAGCCGGTGTAGGACATACCCACAGGAGAAAATCTCAAGCCTCGGCCGGAGGCCGGCTATTTACAAAAAGTTTCAAATTTAGAAAACGTTTGTAATTCCAGCGACGGCTACGCGAAATAAACATTTTTTTATTGAAAACATAATTTTAATGAACTGAGTGAGAGAGTGTCAGCTATAATTTTCTTTACATTTGGGGGTGTTATAAAAAATCTGGGTCAAAAAATCGATCATTTAGCTATAACATCAGAACCATGACCACTTACTCCATCATGTGACCACTTGTTGGATAGGTATTTTCAAACGATACCTATCCTGGAAAAAATTTCGAAAAGATCGAAGAGTTTTTACTAAACTAGAGTTGTTCCAAATATTCTCTAAAAAATATTTGATACGATACAAAAACAAAAAAGTGCTTATCTATGGTCGTTCGTTCCGTTTGCTTAAGTGTCCGTCCGTCGGTAATTCCCTCTTTCGTAATTTCCAACAGTGCCGGTTTCTCATTGTGTACCATAATTCTCTTCTAGAAAATTACACTCATAATAAATTTGCACATATTCGCTCTTATTTACGATATACGCGAAAACAGAAATAGAAAGTGTGGTGCAAATAAATAAGCAGTGATCTGTAATGTACATTGTTGTTGTGATTGGTGCTTTGTGTTTTTCAACACAAAAGAGAAATAAAATAACAATAACAACATACTACTAGTTAATACAACAACAACAGTACGATCACATATAAGTGCTGTATGCTTGTGGTTGACTGACTTGTGTTAGGTAGTCAGTAACCACCACACCGTGTAATAGGTGTGTTCATTACAAAAAGTGAAAAATGTTTATTAGGTCAGTTCGGGCTAAAATTGTAAAATATTTTTTTCAAACACTTTAATTTTCTTCAAAGTTTTAACGGTTCTGTTGGAAATTAATTATTTCGTTATTGAATTTGTTTCTGTTTTACTTGATTTTAATTCAGTAAACTTTTTTATTGTTCAAGATTTCGCTTTCTACACATGATTATTT